AAAAAAAAAAAAAAAATCAATTTTGTTCGGAAGTCTCCAATTTGAATCTTGAACAAGAGATAGAACAAGAAAAAAAGGGTGATCCATTTTCTTTTATTTAATAATATGTTTAAATTGAAGAGAATAAAGAGAAAGGAAGAAAAAGAATTTTTAATTAATTAAATTATAATATTTTTTAAATATTATAATTTTATTAATTGAAAAAACGTTCTCCTCTTCTTCCCTTCATTCATTTTAATGCCAACAGAGGCTTAATTTGAGATAAGCATGATATGATTTCAAGTATATCAACCAAATATTTGTTAATACTTTCAAGTTTCAATTCATTAAGACTTTTTTTTCTTTTTAGAAGTGAAGTATCTTACACTCTACCAAAGAAAAGGCTGTCGATATAAGAAACATAAAACCATTGATTAATTCATCATAAATCTATGACTTAAAAGACTTTTTCAAAGTGATCCATAAGAAAAATGAGGCGTAGCAAGTGGCTCCTTAATCCACTTCAAGTTAGCTCAAAAATAATTGAGTTGGGTCAGAGAACGTCCGGCCGGAGAGACACAAGACTTGCCCCCTATTAAATCCCTCTTTTATGTTCTCAACAAACCAAGCCAATTACTACGGGGCCAGCTTCAATTGAAGACATGTAAGTACAATATTATGAATGATGGTTTTCATTTTATTAATCAATGTTTATTTTTGAGAGACTAATAATAAAGTGATTTTTTTATAAATTTTTTAATTATATTATGGATAGTAAGCTCTTGGACGAAACTAAATTATTTTTTCTAATCAATTAGTTCCAAAGTATTTTTTGAACCATAAAATTTTTTGCCCCTCCTTTAATTTTAGTCAAGCTCGACTTTGGACATACCTTCAGTAGTAAGTACTGTGGTCAGAAAACGATCTGAGCATTAAAACAAACAAAAAGAGAGGGAATACTCGATGTTTAGGATGTAAGTTTTTTTTTTTCCCCCTTCATTAGTGAAAAAGTATATAGATGTACTGCTTGAAACACAATACCCACATATAGGGAACACAAGAAATTGTACATTCAATTAAAATAATATGAATGATTTAGACGTTATGGAAAATTAATTGGTGGGTTAGTGAACAAAAGTCTCAGTCGCGGAGGCCGTGTTTTTTCGCAAAGCATGAATTTTGTCTCGAGTCCAAGTAGGGACGGAGGATGCTGAACGCGGAGCAAGACACGGTGCTGCGAATTTTGCGTAGGCGGTTAAGCACGCGGCCTAGACTCGGAGTTCCTAATTTCTCAATTCTTGTTGCAAACTGACTACCCACTACAATATTGTGAAATGATTGACATTAAAAGATGGGATTTTTTTTTTCTTCGACAGAATCTCTTTCCAAGCTTGAAGTCTTCATCAGTCTCCCATAAACAGATATGATGTCAACATCTGTAGACAAAATCATCTTTTCTAGAAAGTAAATACCACCGAGTGGGGGGTATGATCTTTTGACTTTTGAATAATTGGCAGGTAATTAAGTTCTTAGAAAAAAATTGATGACAAATTGCCTTAAAATTAGGGAAAACAATATAAGTCTCCTCAAATAGATTGAAATGGTCGATCATAGGTGTGAATCACCGACCGGCTAGCTCTTGCTTAGTAGAATTTTTCTTATTAAAATTTAGAATTGAAGACCACTGCACAAAAAGAAAAACTAAACACAATCAAACAACTCCCACGGTGCACACATTGTTATTTTGTTATTCAAGCAAATTGATTTAGAAATGCCCAACTTATTCAGCGAAATCAAATGGAGAAAAAAGAGTCAGTACGTCTCTTATCAAACGGACCAACAATCATAACATCCTATAATCTACTGGCCGGAAACCAGATGACCTTTTGGGCCCCGACAGAGGCGGCCACCCACCGGTGATGGGACAGCGCCACTAACTGAGAACACAACAAGCGGCAAACGGAACAGATCCTGTACCTCCAAGCAAAAAATCAAGGGCTAAGATTTGAACGCAGTAGATGATATGTGTATTCCGCCACTCAAGTTTCTTTTATTTGTCTGCGCGATTCCAACGTTGACTCGGAAAAAATGGAAAATTCATTATTGATACTCAAGTGGAACCCGCAGCCGCAGGCGACCAGGACTCGCAGCCGCAGACGACCATTCGTCTCTACATTTTTGCTTGCGAAAAATTGTTGTGCCACTGCACAACAATGATAATTGGACGAAGGATGAGTTTTTTGGATGTTAGAAGTTAGAACCTTCATTCACTCTAGGAATTTATTTTTTTTATTTAATTATTTATATTTAGTAATTTTATATAATTTAAAAAATAAAAAAAAAAATTTCTTGTTTATTATACATTTTGACTAATCCTTTTATTGATTTTTGCTTTTTTTCGACTAGCAAACATAAACACCGCGCTTGAAATTTCATGAAATTTTCAAATTTTATGAATTTAATACAAATGTTACTAATTCAAAAATCAAAATTTTATTTTAAAAAAAATTGAAGATAATGTTACATTACAAACACTAAATGAGGTTATTACCGCACGAAATTCTACAAAACGAAAGCTCTATTATAGAGATATTTACAATATATGTATTTAAAAAAAAATAGAGAATCCCTTTTAAAATAAAACTTTAATAGAGTTTTAATAAATTAAAACCCTATATCCATTTTATTTTTGAAAAGAAAATAAAATGAAATTTTCTTTTATAAATACTTTCAATATTTACATTTCCTTTTCAGTTTTCTTCGCTCTCGTCAAATATTCTTGGGGTTCCCATTGTCTGACTCTGATTCCATAGACATGTGATTTGGACATGTTATACGGACACGTGAGATTGTTTGGGAGCGCCGTTACCGGATCTTGGTTGCCGCAGAAGCTCTATCAGTGCCTCCGCCTGTTCACAAAACGACAACTCCACCCATCAAACACAATAATTCAATTACAAGAGACCAGAAAAAAAATTAAATGTTAAAGATATGAATTTTAACCCTAACTATATTTCAAAAGTGCAATTTATTAAGTATAAAAATTATTAAAATATTATTAATAAAATAATATAAAAATAACATTCATTAAAATTTTTTAAATAAACTTATGGGTCCGCAAGAAAGACTTTTTTTGGCACAGATATTAATAAAAAATGTTTTTAAATAGATATTTATAAAAGAAAATAGGAGTTTCATTTTTTTATTTTATAAAGAGATTATTTGGCTGACGTGGCAGGACGCTATTCACCGTCCGTAGCACTGAAAAGCCATGGAAATGGCCTGCTACGTCAGCACCGATGATGAGTCACCGACGGGATTTCGGAATTCACTGACCTTTTGTTTGGCGTGGTTGGTTCCGGACTGAGACAAAGCCACCAAGGGTGGAATCGCTCCTTCCCGGGCCACCATGGTACGGTACACCATGCTGTCCTCGCAAATTTGCAAGAGGATCCCCACCGCGGCCTCCTTTTGTCGTAATGAGCCCACCTCAATGATTTCCACCAGAACGGGAATCCCTCCTTCCTCTACCAACGCCGTTTTGGCCTCCGGTCCCGAAACAAGTATGCTCAAAACATATGCGGATTTATCTACCATGTTTGATCCGAAATCTGCCATTAGTTCCACCAACGGCTTCATGATCCCAGCTTGGACGGCCCTTATCTTGTTTTCGTTAACAGAGCATAGTGAATACAGAGCAGTTGATGCGTCCTTTTTCCCGCGAGAACCTCCGTTCTCTAGAAGGTTCACAAGGAGCGGAATCGCTCCCGACCGTCCGATTGCTACCTTGCTCTCTTCTATCTGCGAGAGGCGAAGCAGAGCACAAGCCGCGTTCTCTTTTACCGTAGAAGTCCCTGTTTTCAAAGCCCGAACCAGCGGCCTGATCGCTCCGGCAGAGGCAATCAGTTTTTTGTTCTCGTCGCAGAGAGAGAGATTCAAAATCGCCGTGACACCATTCTCTTGAAGCTGAGGATCGGAGGACGAGATTAGCCCAATCAAAGGCTTAATTGCGCCTGATTTAGCAATCTTGATTCGATTCTCTGGTTTGTTCTTGGCCAAAAGTCGGAGCTCCATAGCCGCTTGCTTTCGCTCGTCAACCGAACAGGATTCAAGATCCAAAACAAGCTGCCGAATCAGATCGTCGGAATTTTCCGAAGCAGAGGCGAGAAGAAACCGCCGGCTCTGAGACGAGGACGACGACGCCATCGTGAACTCCCCGGATCTATCGCTGTTACAATCACTAAAAGCAAAAGAATGATCATTGACACTCAAATCCCCCAAGCTCCTCCCCATATAAGCGTAATTCGCCGGATTCTCAGTCTCCATAGCTGATGAATAACTGATGAATAACCTCTGTTCTACCACCGTATATATCTCGCCGGAGATCAATAATTCAGGTCTCTGGTTGTTTGGAAGGAATACAATTAGTGAGAAAGATAGATGGAGTGAAACGAATATAAAGGGGATGGGTGCACGACTGGTACACCAGGACCAGCGCGTGGGGTCGGCTGCCACGTACACAATAGTTGACCGTACCAAAATCGGTTTCAGCACGTGCGAAAGGTCCATTTAAACGCGTGTGTGGAAGATTTGGTATTCGATGAAGAGCATCGTATATTCGTAATCGAGGACAGGAGACTAGACGAGTCCCTTCCGTCTCCTTACCATAAATGATTTACCGTAGTACTA